TTCCATAATAATACATTCGATTTGGGAGAGTTTTATCTTAAATATTGCTCAACACGGTACTAACATTAGACAAATTTATTACCTTACCTTACACGCTGAATTGCTGTCTTCGATATTAAAGCCAGCTTCTAGTTTTTCAAAACTTTTACTAGAAAATTTAAAAAAATGTCTCACACTTATTTATTTAAATTTGATTGTTTTGATATTTTTGAAAACAATTAAAATTCCGTGCTTTTTTAAGGTAGTTTCTCTCATAAAACATTCAATTTTTTAACCTATAGTATTATAATCTTTTCTACTTTAAAATACATATTAGATTAATAATCAAATGCATAAAATTTATATAATTGGATCTATTGTAACATTTAAGAAAGGCATGTATTTTTTCACCGTTGTTTGTTAGAAAGTTATTCTAATTGGGAGTATTTTAGCTTAAATAATGCTTTACAACTCGCACTAACATTAGATGGGTGTATTATCTTGTATTCTAAATTGCAGCCTTCCATTTTAAATCCAACTTAAACTATCAATTTCAAAAATTTTACAAGTAAAATTATTTATCATTTATTAATTAAAATTTTTTTAAGAATTAAAATGCATGCATGTTTTAAGGCAGTTTCTATTATAAAATATTTTTTTAATTATCCTTTATCAGAAAAATCTTTCAAATTCAGCTGAGTTTGAAAGGCAAACTGATTATCTTCCTTTTCATTCGCTGATATCGAAAGGAAAAAAAATAACGATGCCTGCTTTATTTCGTGAATGAGTTGCATTTCTTAAAGAACTACGAAGAATTTTTCGAAGCACATTTTGGGGCGAATGTACATATCTTAACAGAGAAACAAACTAACTTATTGAGCGTTTTTACTAATTAGTATAAAAATGTAATATTAATTTTTATATTTGTTTCAGCACAAGAAAATTTAATAATATGTTTTTTGATTATTTCGATAATAAATATCTTTCCATAACGCAAATCTAATAAATAAAATAGAATTTAAATAAAATAGAAAATAAATAAGAATTTTCTTGAAGATTACAAAACCATTCAAATTTATTTTCACAACCATTTTGTCACTAAAGCAGTTGATTTCTGATTATATACGAGGTTTCAAATATTTAACAAAATTTCTTATTCAGTGGAATATATTTGTTAGTACATTCTGAAAGTTTATTTTGTTAGTATCTTTGCTAAATGTTATTGTAAAATGTAGTGTCTATTTTAGTTACTAACTCTACACTAAATTTTGCTGGAAATGCTGATGTGAATAGCCAACTTTCTTATACATCTAATTTTAAGGCTGTTGGAATTTTATTGCGGGATGGTATAGGCGGAAGTGCTCTTGTTTTCCAAGGTTTGGTAGCTCGTGATTTCTAAGTACTTATTCTTCTGACGGCAGAATTTTTCAGAGTCTATCTGTATCTTCAATGAAATTTGTCTGTGACTTCAACGCAGTCGGGCAGTTATTATAATTGTAAAGCTTAAACTTAGCCTTACATATATTTAGCGCAATTTGAAAATATTAAGTAAACGTATTCCCAAAAAATTATGTTGCTTACATTTAATTTGAATTTCATACTATCATGCTGCATTAGTTTTACATAAAAGAAGAATAAAAAACGCATCCTTAGCGTGATAAATAAATAAAAAAAAAAAGGAATACGCAGATGATGCGAATAAAATAAAATCTTTTGATTTTAAGAAAATGAAAGAATTGCAATTTATGGGGTTCTCATTTGTGCCTGTTTAAAGTTTCTTTAAATTATTTAAATTAAGTTCATTACCATACCATCACAGGTATTTTACAGAAATATAAAACCGTATCCAGTGAAGATTTTCTCCGTGTGAGTTTTTCTTAAAAAAAAACTATTCAATATTTTATTATAACTGAAGATTTAAAATATATTTTATTTTTCATTTTATCTTTACTTTTTACTTGTTCTCATTTTTTTTCTACTAGAAACCTCTTCTCAATTTGCTATTTAATTCGAAAAATTTTGAGAATGAAAATAATCTGCCGCTTTTGCTTTCCCACCGGAGGGTTTCTGCTACCCGGCCTTTACTCTCTTTCTATAACAATGAAGTAGCAATAACAAATAATGCAATTGAGAAGTTACTACATTTTTCGACGAAATCCGCATATCAATTTTTTGTCTAACATAATATTCATACGAATCTTTTCCCAAGAAGCGACTACGTCATAAAAAACAAGGGAAATTTCAATATTTTTGATCACCCACTTTTCAGAGTGTTTCAGATTTTATTAATCTGTCTATTTTGAGGTTTAAAATTTTTTTGAAGTTGCATTTTGGGAAAATATTCCTATTGATGAAACAAAAATGCTCTTAACTAAATTTGAGATTGCAATGCCAAACGCAATACAAATTTTACTCAGCTTTGTAAATGTTTAAGCCATACTATTAACAAAAACTTGATCAAGAAGCTTCAATGAAACTGGGTCATAAAATCTGCTCTCCTACCACTGAAGATCATGCTTACCTGAAATCTTTACAAAATACTGACTTTTTTATATTTTTCATTGACCAACAGAATACAGAATTGAAAATGTAATTATCGTTGCGCATAACTAAAGAAAAATAATTAAAATTCTCCCAAAAATTCTTAATTTAAAATGTAAAAAATGAACGACTGCAAATTGAATGTCATGTAATAATTGCAATAGGAATATCAGTAGTTTTCAATGTGAAGTTTTCAATATCGATAATTTTGCCATGTAATAATTTCAAAGAATAAATTATATTAAACTGTTTTATGAATCCAGAAAACTAGATCCCTTTCATAGTTGGAACTAAAAACTTCAAGTTGAAATACAGTTTGAAAATTCTCTAGTTACCAATATTTCTAACATTAAGTGGAACAAATTTGTCAATGCATTTTTTTTCAGATGTAACGAGTTTTGACAAATTAAAATTTGCATTGTTTGCATTGTTGTTTGATAAATTAAAATTTGCATTGCATATTGTTATCCATATTCTGTCGTTCGAACGACAATTTCAAGTATAATGCGGGGCATTAATTAAATGGTTGTCGAATAATTTTTGAAATCAAAACTGATTTGTATACTTTTAATTAATTATTATAGATGCTGATTGAAATCGCAGTTTTTATTAAACGCTTATTTACATTGATAAATAGTTTAATCTTAAGCTATTTTATTATTAAGATAGGCTATTTTATTTAAAAAAGAGCAGAAAGATGTTTAATAAAGATTTTAGAACTCAAGCATAATCTTTTTTAAAAATATTTTCTTACATGTTTCGCCTTTATTTACTTTGCTCATAAACCGTGCTTCACGTGTTTTTATTAATCTGAGGGACTATGTACAAAACACGGCCAAAGTACAGTTTTTTATACATAAATGCGTATAAAGAGTGGTTGTTTATAACATTGTACTAGAACTTTCTTTCTTTTCTTTTTTACAATACATAAAATATAGGGCTGGGATAGCCTGGTCGGTAGGGCGCTGGGCCCATATCCAAAAGGTCGTGGGTTCGATCCTCGCCGGCCGAAGACTCCCCGTGTAGTAAATGGTGACTGATGCACGTTAATTCTGTCGAGTCTCAAAGTCCTCCATGTTCAACAAATCAATACCTCTGGGGGTACTGATCCAGGAGTTTCCTTGTCTTCTGGATTGGTTCAAAATTACAAGGCTACGGAGTTGAACGTAAGTAGTCGTAAACCCATGAAATTGGGTCGGCTGTTCAACGACGGTTATAAAATAAAATAAAAAAATAAAATACATAAAATATAATTCACTGTATCACAAAAATACTACCTTCTTCAAATTTATTTTTAATAAAACTAACAAATCAAGATTGAGTACTGTAAAAGGCTTGGTGTACAGTTGCTACCATTTTTTTGTGTTCTTGAATACATTTTTACGTATAGAATTGCATTTATCATGCAAAAAAACATATGGAATTGATGAAATAACAGTTTTTTGAATGCATTAGCGCAAATATATTATTGAAAATGCGTTTGTTTTTTTAAACGAAATTTTTTCACAAAAAAGCCCTAAATTGATTCTAATGTGCATGAAAATATTTGTTGTAATACATTTGTTGAAAACATTGACGAACAAGCTAACAAAAAATTAATTATTAAAATAAATAAAAATATAATATGGAAAATTAAATGATTAATGTAACTCTACATGCATTGTAAAAAATTTCAGTTTACCTCAATTAATTGCAAATTAATTTCAATTTATCTCAATTATATACAAATTAAAAATTCAAAATTTATTGAAATGCAAAATGTTATCATAGTAATAGCTCAAAAATTGACTAATTTTCAGATAATTAAGCAAACGGAAGGAAAACATAGACGAATGCTATTAAAAAAAAATCGATTTTCGGATTTATGTAAAGTTGCAATTTATTTATAATTCATTCAAAAAACTTTTTTAAATGGATACTCAATTTATAAGCAAATATTACAAACCATATCTTGTAATATAGAACAAAAATTCAAAAATTTGTAATATGGAGCATTTTGGTTCAACATGTCTTAACAGTGAAAACAAACTTTGAGAAAGAAAAAAAAGTCAAAATTTTTAAAGTAAACGATAAATTATTTGAAATCAATTTTTAATTTTTTTTTCTTATTTTATGAAATAACTACATGAATCGAAGGTGTTGCTGGGATGAGAAAAAGTAGTAATAGCTTTCCTTACAACTATAAAGAAATCAGATATAAAAATTATAGATAAAAAATAGATATAAAAAAATAGGATGATTTTAGTTCAGATATACAATTTTCTTCATTAACATAAAAATGTTCAAAACAATGTACTATAGAGTTTTTATTTAAAGTATATTTTATTAATTTAAAAATAAGCAATTACATTGCATTCATTAAATCATTTAACTTCCAGTGTAATATAAAAGTTTCAAATATCAACAATATAAATGTCATATTCCAGAAAAACCAAGTTAGTTTTATTTTAAGTTCATGATTTTATGATTCATCTTTTCAGATGAAATTCATTCTGATATCCTGGTTAATGGTGATCGGATTCGAGTGCGTACTGGTAACTTGCCAACAAGACATCCCACTCTGGAGTGGTCAAGCTATATCTAAAGAGATTTTAAGGCCCTTTTTCTTAGATTCATCATCAGAAGAATCACCTGATTATGAAAATCAGAAAACACAGGCTCTTTCATCGTACTCAACGAGACAAAATGCTGGAAGTATTAAAAAACGAGTTGGTAAGTGCTGCTGTTTTCTTTAAATTTTCTTTTCGAATCACTGTTTTTATTTTTCTCAAATTAACTTACAATGGATACAAAGTTAATAAAACAAAGCACACTAAATATAATTTACAAATGCAACTATGAGATTTACTTGGTTATTCTTGAAAAATAATGTTTCGTTGATTTATATTTTCTTTTAAATTTAGGCAAAACTAGATCACATAAGAAAATAATTATACTTTCATTTCTGAACTTGTTGCTAAATCATTTTTTAACCTAATTCACACACGATTATATTTGGAAAATATGTGTCTTAAAATAATTTTTTTTAATGAAACAAACTTGGGCAAGTCAAGTTCGATAACCATTGGCCGTTTGCGAATTAGGTAAGGAAGGTGCCTCTTTCATTTAACAGGAGAGCACCGCAAAGGGGAATGTACGTCTTGGCTCAGAACCCCACATATTAGCTTAGAACCCCAGCACCATTCATTCATGAAGCCACTTTCTCAATTTAGACGAAGATCTGAACAGGAAAGAAGGTTTCGTCAGATCCCTGTATCCCTGGCAATACTCAACGACTGAGTATAGAACTTTCGATTTCGTATATCTTAAGAGCACGTATATCAAATGTACTCTACTAAATAGTCTATAAACATCTAATAAATAGTCGAGTCTTAACGGAGTCAAGGTCTCCGAAGTCCGATTCTTCAACCACTGGTCTACCACGATGCGTTAAATATCTGTTCATATTTAAGCAAAAACAGAATGTTTTTTTTCTCGTTAACTAATGGTTTCGAATATGAATTATCGGATACATTTCTATGAATATGAATTTTCTAATACTATTAAACATTAAAGTCAGCGTTTTAATGAAATATATTACATAACTTCAGGCATGTTAAGAAAGTTTTGACAGCAAAAAATATTGAAAAAATTACGTTTTATTTAAAATTTGGAATGAAGTTGAAGATTTTGTAAGAAAGTAAAGAAATAATAAAAAAAAGAAGAAATTTCGAAGGAAAAACAAAATTTAAAAACACAATTCTAAATGATACGGAGTTCATACCTTAGTTAAAACAAGTAAAACAACGTTTGGTCTGATCGAAATACAGTTTTAAGATTGTGACCCACATAAATTGTTGGTCAGTAACAGATTTAAAAGAAACCTCGATTCATAAGTAAATAAAACGTCATAAATAAATTCAAAGAAATGTTTCACTCAAAAATGCATAGGATTTCCAATAAAAGAACAAAATTAGAAAATTTTATGTCAACAAACTAAATTAAAAGAAAACAACCTAAATGCTCTTTGATGACCTGATAATATTTGAGAATAAAGAAAACGACACGAACGCCTCTTTATTAAATATTTTCGGAATTCGTTTTCCGATAACGATACTGTAAGTCAACTATGAAAGCTGACATGATATCGTAATCAAAGTTACTGCCACAACAACATTTGAAGCTTAATTGATTTTTGCTTTCATTCACCTTTTCGTAAGGTTGACATCAAAGCCATAATTTCATATAAATATGAAGTGAGTGGTAATTTACCTGGTGAAGAGTATTGGTCATTATGTCAATACTGCCAGAAGCCATAAACGGCAGTGACTGTACTTTTTTTTTGTTACTTTAGAATATTATATTTAAGACTTTGTTCAGCCTAGAGCTTAAGCATCTGAGCTTAATTGGAGAAAGTTATGATATTTTCCTGACATAAAGACAGATATTTTTAAATATAAAAAATTTAATGTTTCAATTATTAAACTTAATGAGAAGCTTAAATTTAAGGTTATTATCATCTAGTGTTAAAAGTTTAAGTAAACACTACCTTTCCACTGAAAAATAGTCAAAAATACCTGAATATGGAAAAATTTACCGTGTTTCTGGCTGTATGGGCTATTTCTATGGCTTCTGTCTATGGCCCTGTGAGAGCCCCAAAAAGAAGGGAATTTTTACCGAAGCTCTTTGGTAATGATTGTGGTAAAATAAAAAGTAAAATATGGTTTTATAATATTGTGATGTAATTTTGGAATTGTGGTAAAGTTTTGTAATTTTATTATGATACCTTAGAGTCTTAGAGCATGGCATAATAACCATTCATTCAGTAAAATTTACTTTTCAATATTGTATTTTTTACTAAATATGTGGTAATAAGAAATAAATTTTGAAAACCAGAATTTCAAGTAAACTATATGGACGGAACGATATTAATAGTTAAAATATTGAATATTTAGGTTGTTTTTTTAAGGCAGCGATATATCTTTTTTTTACCATAAATATCAATACCATACAGGATGAAAATTTTACCAAAATTATTTTTTCTGCTTGTGTTTCAATAATCTCAGATTAATCAGACAGAGAATTTTTTTTATATTTCAAAAAAGCTAAAAAGATAGTTATGCTATTTGCAGAATAAAATCACTGGACAAAAAATTATTGACCAGTGGAAAAATTATAAAATCATCCAGAGTTAGGGATGCTTTTCTTCTTTTAGAGATGATCACTTACATGAACCAACAAGTTAATTTTAATTTTCTGGATGATCAGGTTTTGTTTCTCAGTAAACATAAACCTGATGTTATTGATGTTCTTCAAGATGATAACAACTAAGTTCACAAAGTTAGAATATGTATCTTACCTTATGAAAACTATCTCGATTGGCCTGTAAAATCAGCTGATTTCAACGTCGTAGTAAATCAGCAAGACACGTTGAAACAGCAGGTAAAAAGTCAAAATGCACATCCCCGCAATTTGATGGTTTTGCACTTGACTGGAGAAACATGAGAATAGATTTATGAATACTCATAAATTCTAATGTATTTGTTATGCGTTTGATACGTCCTATTGCATTTATCCGAGTCATAAAATTATAACATTTATGTAAATATTTTTACATATGAATGTTTACTGGGAAAATAAATGGAAGAATTAGAAAATTAAGACCTTGTCGTGCAAAATAGGTATGAATATCAGTACGGGTGTTTTTGATTCATTGAATAATTATCAGAAATTAAAAGGAAATTATAAAAAGTTATTTATAGAGAATGAGTTTGAGTTAGATATTTCATTAAGACGAAAAAAATTTTTTTTTAGTATTAAAAAAAATTGAAGACCAAAAAGACGTAGAAAGCACCATGGTATTTAAAAATACTTTTTAGAAACATTGCAAATTGTGTGGGGAAAATTTGGTTTGTAATCATCAACTGTTGCTAAAATTTACCTCATTGAGTTTGGTAATTAGTTTTTAATTTTTCGATGTTTCGTATCCTTTATTTTTTTAAAAAAATAACTTATTTAAGAAAAACTTAATAAAATATGGAGAAATTTTTTGTAACAAAAACGAAACATGAAAATTAAAAGTTTCGAAATCACGAATACATATTTGAACTAAAAATAATTTAAAGTATTAAGTCAGTTTAAAATGTGCTATTTAAATTTTGAAAGTGGATAAAATTTATTTAATTGTTATTAACTTTTAAAAATCTTATTCAAATTTTGAAAATTGATGAAAATTATATATAACACTCGTGTACAAACTTTTTCTCAAAATTGTTTTAAAAATTATATGAAAAAATTCAAATATTTATTAAAATTTTTTAAAAGGGATATAAAGTGTACATTTAAAATTTTCGTTTGCAGATGTTTTTATCAAAAATGCTTAATATTATTCTGTAAATAAATAAATAAAAAAGCAACGAAAACTAAATAAATAATAAGTCTTTATAGCAATGTAAATCCTTTCACAATATAAGACAAAGTACTTCGCCTATGCGTTGAAATAAGAGAGGGAAAATCCATTTTTGATCTCAACCATAACGCCAAATAGCTGTAAAATATATTTTGTGGCATTTACTCGGATAGTAACCAACAACCTAAACTGAACTATAATCGCAACTTTACAATGACTATGGTTGTTGAATCGCTTTATAGAAAAAAAGATACCTATTTGAAAAGGGATCAAAAGCCTTATCGATGTTATGGAAAGGGTTTTCGAAAAAATGAGTTCATCTAAAACTTTTTAGGCTGTTTTTTGTTGGAGATGAATTCATCATTGTGGTCGACAATAACCTTAAATGTAATTTTTAACAAACTACTTTCATTGGTGTTATGGGGAGTTCCAGGTATCTAATAATATTTTAGAAGGACTAGAATGTATTTTGACAAAAAGCAAACAATACTATATAGCTATAGTTAAAAATAGCATACTGTTTCTTTATTTTCTGTACAACAGTTACATACAGAAATAAAGGAATGAAAAAAAATTATGTATAAGTGGTATGAAATAAGTAAGACATAAAACTGAATAAAAAAATAACCAATAAGAAAGGGAAGGAAATAAAACTCCTGCTCATTATTTTTCCTACCGATCATTTGTGATATCTTCGTCATTTTACTATGCTCTGAAAATAAAACTCCAAAGTCGATTGAAACTTATTTGCTATTTTTAACTAAGCTCAATGTCTGCTATTTTTCTTTCAGCTTTTACTTTTTATTACCATCATCATGAAAGTTCTTGTTCTTCTTAACGCATTTTAGGTTTGACTGAATTTTTTTTTTTAATCAAAGGAGTTACTATTCGATTTATTGGATAACGAATTGAATAGTAACGTACTAGCAATTTCACTTTAGTTTCCTTGAAGGAAAACTAACATGTTCATAATTTTTTTGAGTATTACTATATGATATAAATGATTTCAAAAGTGCAATCGAAATAACTTTTCGAAACTGTGATAAGTCCCAAAAACTATTCTATTTCGTCAAGAATTTTAAAATACCCTGACAAACGTACTAGTACGGCAATCTGCAAAACGTAGTAGCACAACAATGTTTTTTTTTAAACTTCAAAATGATTCTACGATGTACTACGATCTGTTAAGACGCAATTATGTTACAAAAAAAAAACTTTAAAGAATTCTGGAAAAGTTGTTCCGATTTTAGTTTTAAAAAATAATGCACATCATGATATTTGTATGCCGGTTGCTAGGTTTTCTTTTTTCCCATTAGTCGTAATA